GGGATTCAACACAACGACAAGATTCGGCAAAATTCATATGGAATTACAAAGAACAGTATAAACAATCTGACCCGATAAGGCCTTGTTTAATTAGAAAAATCGGCGTTGTTACCAGTTATGAAGAGCCAGAAAAAATCCAACAAAGTTCTTTCATCACTTCGTGACCCCAATTCACTCTTTCCTCCCTTCCAAGTACCGCCAGCTGACTAGTCGGACTTCGTCCATGCTCCAATTCTCATCCCATTCAGAAATCATCTCAACATCCCCACACAATCGCAACACTTTCTCGATGGTTACTTGACCCAGTGGCATCTTTGTGCGTGAACGCAATAAAACACGACGGGCTGCACTGCTTGTTACTATGCCACTTACCATCTGTCGTTCCTATCCAACAATACCGTATGCCCAGGTCACGTTGGCTGGCCGCTGTTTTGGGCAGCGCATTACGCAAGGAAACTCACCGTTCCGATAGCGACATCCTCTTCAATCTCCACAGGTCCATGGAAATCCTCGAACACCGGCTCGTGTTTGTTCACTGGTTCGGCTCCAATGACTGGTTTGGGTTTTGCTGGTACCTGAACATTTAGAACTGGTCAGACTGCTCACTTGAGATCATTTCTCAGTTTCTTTGACAGTCTCCAACTGGCCTAGAATTCAAAATGCATGATGATTCAGCGCGGCCAACCGTTAGGATGAGGACTTCCAGGATAAGCGGAGAAAAAAAACCGAGCAGATCAGCTTTGCCCCTTTTCTGCCGCTTTCAATTCCCACTATCAAAGAAGGCCAGAATAACCATACAGGAATTCTGTTTCTATTTTCTCATCGTATAAAATATAATTTCGATCATCTAGTCATAATCCTTTCCCTCAAATGTGAAGCAGGTTCTTCTGTGGCTGCCCCAGCGTCGGAAAGTAGGAAAACATTCCAAAAAATTACAATCCAGGAAAAAAATCGCAATAGCTTTGTCTCACCTTCGTTCCGTTCCGATAAAAAACTAGATTTAACACCGTCGATCTTGGTAAAGGTCGCCCAGCATCCACTGCCCATACAGCCACACTCCATTCATTATCGCCCGCTTTCAAAGGAGCCGACAATGAGATCTACAACAAAATGACCACTAATTGATGAGTTACGAAAAGAATGGACACAAAAAACTTCAATGAACACCATCCCACACGAGCGAGCGAATTACCTCTCCAGTTTCAAAGTTGACAGCAAACGGCACTTGAGAATCCGACGATAATTTATAGCCTATGCGCGCATTCTCGCCGGAATCCAAATCGACGGCGTCAACCTGAAGTACGACCATTCGGCAAATAGGTCATCTCTCACAAATAGCAAGACCTTTCAAAACGTATAACAGAAGAATGAGTTACCTTCAGAAGAACTGTGCCAACGGTAGTACCATTAGGGACAACCACTGGGCCTTGGCGACTCCACTTGGCAGCCCAAACCGGTGAATGGTCATTCGAATCTTTTATGGATACTGTCACAACTATAGAGCTCTGACCACCAAAACCAGCAAGCTAAACAGGTAATATCTCAGGTAAAGTAGCATGAATCACTTCAAAACACAAATGTAAGGGTGCCAAGGCTGGGTATAAAAAACTGAGCTATAAAATTTAAGAAAAAAGTGAAGGCAGAAATGAAAAGAAACCAACCTTTCCTAGTATATTGAAGCTATATTCCCTTTGTTTTTCATAATCTAGTAGCTGGGCCACCCGTAACACTCCAGTCTTCTCGGACACTTCAAAGGGCACCGTCGCATTATCTCTCATTTCCAAATAGTACCTAGAAATCGCAAATTTCAACCACTGAAAGATATCGCTGGAAGAATAATTTTAGAAAGATGTAGAAGATAAATAACCTAATATTTTTCTCATCCTGTTTGTACAATGCGCTAGCCGACACTTTTCCGATCACGTAACCAAGCGGAGCGGATTCATTCACGTGGAACGTGGCTGCTGCATCGTCAAATACAATCGAATGCGGCTCACCAACTTCGATCTTAAGCATCATTCACTAGCCAAAAAGTCACAGTAAACATAACACTCGACCACGGCAAACTCTAGTCACCTTGATATTCGCCGTCGTGTTGACCATGCCACTTGAGATCGACTCTTGTCCAGCCGATATAGTGACGTTTGTTTTGGATGGGTGAAATGAACGATCCCTGTTAATGAACTATTATTCGCTCGAAATACGTAGGCTGGTTTATTCATAATGATAGATTTACCAAAAAAAAAGCAACTTGTCATTCTTAAAATTCCTTACCGTACACTAATTTCAACTATCTGAAGTGAACCTTGACAACAACTGAATGCTGGTGTGGTGGTGATAGCAGTATGACTCAGCCTGTTAGTACATCCGCGCTCTACGCGTAACCTTATTATGACTTGTGCCTCACATAAGAATTCTTATGGCTTTTAATAGGCTGCCTTTCAACAGAAATATTGGCACAGTTAGGTTTAATGCTCAAAGTATCAGCTTTTTTCTCGGTGTTTTTGTTGACTTGTTGTTTTGAAAGTTTATAACCTGATCAACTATCATATTACATCAGCTTGTGCATAAGTTCCCTATACATAGCGTGTTGAAAAACAATTGTTGCGGATTAATAAAATTAGAGATAAACATCTTAGAGATCTCCTACAAGATTTAATCCAATAATTTTTAACATCTCTTCGGACATATCACCTCCCCATATCGTCTTACTTGTTGAGACTTTATACCTTAATAACGTGCAACCCTCTTTCAGCAGTCTCTTGAAGAAACTTATAATCATAGTCCCTACAGACTCGACTGGATGAATAGCCACCTGAACAAAAATCTGTCCACAAGTTTAGATGCATGAGAATATAACAACGCATGCACAAAAAACAATGTTCCACTCGTAATATTTTTTGCATTTCAAAGAAGTAATATTGGGTAGTTAATTATTGGTGCGATGAAAGGGTCATTTCAAAATTCAGCGCCTTTCACAATATACATCCGGAAATCAGAACACACCTTCCGGTCTCATTTTTATCTACGCCAAAGCTCAAAGGCAACGAAAAATAAGTCAAAGAAATGAAGATTATCAAGAATGAACCCTACTCACTCTGAGGAGGCGATCTACCCAAATGTCAGCCAAAAAATGCTTTTTAAGAACCCCCTGAGAGGTCTGATAGAATAAATCTACAAAAAGCTCAGATTTTTTTCCTAATTTTTGCTTGAGTATTTACGTTTTAATTCTTCCGAATTTTGGGAAACAGGCTTGCAAGGCTTGAAGTGCAGCAAGCATCTCATAATTTTACTTAGCAGGAAAATTGTTAGGGCAAAACTGTTAAGAGCAACTATCACAAAGGCCAGAAATTCTTGAGGATTCCATTTCAATTTCAAAAAAGTGCAACTCTTTTATTCACTTACCGTGTACAACTGCCATTCCAAATTTCCGCTCTCCACTAAAGAAAACCAGTGCTTAAGATCGTCTTCCACCACTCCCACATGAATTGGTCCACTTGTCGATGCCTCGTTTGACGGAATATCTACTCGGATTGTTGCAGCTAATTGTTGAACATCCGATCGATAACCGTTTATGGGCTTGTTCGCCACCAATAACTTCAGATGACGACGTTTCGACTCGGTTACAGTAATCTAAAGAGGAGGATAATCGTCACGTTACACCTCCATGACGAAAAAATCCCTAAGAGAACTCGAACACTAAACATACCACCACATCCTTCGACCAAGCCGGTTGAATCTGGTCGGGGTCGTTATAGAACAACCGGGAGGTTCGGTCTTCAGAGCGCACTTTCAACTGATAAACACCGCTTCTTAGATGTCGTAACGTACGAATCCAACCTGAAGTATGGCATAAGACGTGTCGGTTTTTGTAATAGTAAAAGCAATTCTGAAAGTACCTGATATGGGATCGACTGTGAAATCCGCCGAACGATTCACTAACGAGTAGTAGATCTGACCATTGATACCTTCATCAGCGTCAGAAGCTTCGACTCGGATCACATCAGTGAAAGGAGCAGTCTACAACCTCTTATTGGAACAGGTCGGAACGGTCAAATTCAGGTAAACCTCGCCGTACCTGATCACTAATTGTCGCCTCATACTGGTCCGCTTCAAGTGTGAAAATCGGCATCGCATCATTACGATCAGTTATTGTCAGACGGACTTTCGCAGTCGCTTCCAAATTACCAGCCTCTTTTTGACGACACGTGGCCTTCACCAGGAAATCATAGTGGTCCTAAAAAACTCGTTCATCTTCGATTAATGTACGCAGCGCCTCGGATTAAAGGCAAATCTTTCTTTACGGAGACTTTTCTTTGGAGACAATTTTGTAATGCAAACAAGAACAAAATTGAAGAGGAAAACGTATCCTCGACACGCTGACACCCACCGCCTCCTCGGCGGTTTGCCCAGCGCCTCCGTAGAATCCCTTCCGCCAACACCCCCTCTTTCCTTCTGCGGAATCCCATTACTGTAAATAAAATATAAGACCATCCCCCCAAGAAGAAAAAACTTCCAAGAAAGTAGTAAAAATAGTGAGATATTTTGCCCTCCCACACCCACTCGCCCAATGTCACAACCAACACTCCGCAGCGTACGCACAGAGATGATAACCCCCCCGCCCCGAGCTTATTGAACACATTGGAAGGAGGCAACCCTCTCCCATCACTACATCTGAACATCCTCGTCATCTGAGGATCCTTCCAGAACTATTATGTTCCGGCCCGCCTACCAGCCCTACATCCTCCACAACTGATGGACCGCGGCGGGCCGGCGTGTCGGTTGTAGTGGGCTGTGATGAAAGCCGACGGTGTTGCGCGCGGTTGGTTGCGCGGCCGGATAGCGCTGAACCGAGTTGCTGTCTGCCGGCCCCGGCTGCAGACGAGGCGGTCCGGGCGGTCGCAGGGCTCGACTTGTCGGGCGCTGGTGATTCTAGGGGGTGCGGGTGGATTGCGGGAGCTTGAGCCCCGGTCGTGCCTGGTCGGAAAAGCGTAAATTGATGCCGGGGTCGCTCGCGCGCGGCGGGTGAGGATCTGTCCCGTTGCCGAGTTAATAACCGTCGGTTGCGTTCCCGTGCTGGGGGGGTTGGGCGCTCTGTCCAGGTGCAATCGGGACCGCCACCGCGACGCAGCCGCGCCACCCTCGTCAGTCAAAGAGTCGGAGGCCGAAGTATTGGGACTGACTAGAAATTCGACATGAATAATAACCTCGACAAAGTAGCATTCATATCTTTGAAATGAAAAAAAAACAACAAAACAAAATAAACAAAAAGAGCAAAAAATTAAAGCTAGATCAAGACTTCACCTTCAGTTCTCTGTTTAACGGCGTGTCCATTCGATCTTTTTGTCGTATACGTAAAAATACAAAATCTCCCACTTGACGGGAATGTGCTTTAAAGTGATGCTGTCGATCTCCCTAGAAAACACATCATAGTGGAAAATTCATATCTATTCAGGAATTCAACTCCTAGAACAAATAGGAATTCAGCATACCTCGACAATTTTGAATTTGACAGTCGCATCACTATGTGGTAACGGAACTCCGATACGTACATGATCAGATGACCGCGCGAATTCCGTACCGGGAGCGTTCTCTTCTAATGACACATTATATAATTTGGCAGTGAATACGAACGGAATTTGTCCTTGTGGGTCCCGTCGAGCGAATACTAATACTGTATCTAGTGCTACCAGATGTAGCAATAGGAATAGATGGCTACGCCAATTCATCTCTACGTCGCATTCCTCGTCGACCGTTCGTCTTTCTGCATTTATTATGGAGACGCTCCGTTTATATGGTCATCAATCTGGAATAAGCCTTTGATTGCAGAGGTCCGAGTTTTTCAGGTGCGCGACAAGTTACAAACGAGATTGCTGCGAGCTTTGTTACCGTGATTTCAAAAAATAGAAAAAAAAACGGAGATAGTAACAGGCAGTTTTCTTACCTACACTAATTTCAAATTTGATAGCTATGAGTGTGTATATGGATTATTTGTGAAAAACTAGTAAATACAACAGGAACCATGATCAAACGAAGTAAACAAAAAACCTCGATTTCAGCAACCTACGAAGGAGGTTAGAGGCAGAACTGGAATTTTGAAAAATTGAGCTGGATTTTTGAAGAAAGAAATGAGAAGTACCGAAGACAGAGACAACATAGAGAGAAATATTAATCAAAAAAAAATCGCTCTCACTGTCCGGATGAACTCTTTGTAAACTACTAAGCAATCCCAAACAGCACCTAGTAGGCTAAAAGGGAATATTCGATTAGTTGTTTATAGGAAGCTATCTACCAAAGTTGATGAGTCAGATATGGCCTTAGATCTAAGTGACCCACATAGGCATTACCGCATAAAGGTGTTGATCAACATCACCTCGACAGGTAGATAAAGCCTAAAATGGAATTGATAGACCAGACATACCAGGCAACTGATTCTCTAGTAGACCAATACCGCCAGATAGATCGTCTCCAGAGAAACACAAGTAGCCTATCTTTATGAATAAGAATATTGAGACCATAGCCCTCTTGTGAAAAGGTGGGTTCGAACGTCATCACTGATAGTAACATCTAAGCGTATTTCACGACCCTAAGTCAACTGTAGACCACTAATTGAACCGCCCCAAATTAATGCTGTACTCTTGAAAAAAATACAATTTGACCAAACCAAGTGTTACCAAAGAAAAACCCATCTGCGTTCGAATATAACCCTAAAAGACACAAAACAGCCTCTGAGCTCGGCGTTTCAGTGAACGTGGCTAAACTAGATAAAAAAATTAAGGTGAACAAAAACCAGCCGCAAAAGACCACTATAGCTTACAAACAGCTCGAAACATCTTTCGCCGAACTTAAACGCAATTAGAGACA